ATGTGTATACTCTGAACCCTAGTATGTCTGCAGAACCACAAAAATACAACAGATGCTGGAGTAAATGCTTGCGCGCACGTTTAGGGCAATGAGAGCAGCCTCGATACATCCCGAGTTTTGAAGTTCAGCCCACCCGTGAGGCCAATAGAGTTCAAGAGGCCTATTGATTTCAATGGGGTCTGTCGGGTTGAAGATTGAAGATCTCACAGACAACTTTCCCAGTGCATCTTCAATCTTCAATCCGAAAGCTCTATTGAATTCAATAGGCCTTTTGAACTCGATAGGACTGTTGAGTTCAATAGGCCTCACGGGTGGATTGAACTTCAAGACTCGGGGTGCATCGGGACTGCTCTCACTGTCCTAAACACTTGCGCAAGCATGTGCTCTAGCATCTGTTAGAAGGTTGTAGTTCTGCACTAGGCTTTCTCAAATGTGGGATGCCCATGTAAGGCCGTAAGATATTAGAAATCAATACCACTGGAATGTAGCAGTATGTTGTTGGAAATGCAGCCGACAGAGCCCGGTGCCACGTGTTCGGGTACAGAAATATCTTTCTGGCTACGGGATATAGAGGGCTTCTGCGCCTATCACACATATACATCTGTATTTCTCAATCATGTAGCAACAGCCGCAGCAATGACGACATCAAGACTGCAATAATATTGCATACTTGACTACATATACGGAAGCAGGACCTTTTGCGTTTGCGTCAGATACGAATTGATATCAAGTATCAAGTACAGTGCCATGCAGTGTCGCCACTTACACAGACCAATCAATGCTGACCTGATGATCTCCGTACACAGATGTACATACACGAACATAGGCAAATTCCAGATGGCATTGAATGTACAGGAGGAGTCTTAACATTTAGATAAAGAAAATGTCTAGAACCAAATGCGTTTACAAATGTACTTACGTCTGTGATGCTCGCATTGATGTGTTTGCCTGTGCGTGTCAAGCATGAGAGCAACAGGAAAAAGCTCGTCTTTACTTAGGAAGCTGGGACGGATAAGATGAGACATAACACAGAAAGACAAGGAGCTCCACATATGCATATGTACCATGGACGGCTCCCATAGTAATCTTGTATGTTGCCGCCTCGATGCGCTTTGGGATTCCTTGTGATTTTACTCGCAGTGCGTGTTTAATTTAACCGTCTCTGTTGCATAATTTGGTGCCTATTACGGGTTGCCGCAATACTGTATAAGCATGTACGTCGTCAATGTACGTGCACATATGCACAGAATAGCAACCGCCAAACTAGCTGTCGAACTGAATTCTTGCATAGTTGATTACATTTACACCAACACGATAGCTTGCATGTTCGTAAGATCTGGCATATAGAGTTTCTTAGGGAAAGGCCTTTGGCCTAACATTTCTGTTCTATCAGGGGGTGTAGTCGAGAGTTTTGACAGATCCAAGAAAAGAACTCGATACGTCTTTGCAGGGGTCCATGCACATGCAAGAAAGGCTTGTGGGGATTCTATAAGGGTTCGATCAGGGTTCTTGATAGGATTTATCAGCATTCTATAATGGATTTTTACGGCTACTGTAGAGATCTATAGGGGTTCCACAAACGATTTCTAAAGCTTCTATAAGACACCGATATAGTGTGTACTTTGGATGTAAACGGGTGCAACTTTATAGGGCTACTGTATATACAATATATGTTAATGGACCTTTAGTGTTTAGGAGTTTCAGATGACCAGCGGCCTCAATATAGAGGCCCCAAGCAATAGGATCCTTACCATAAGGACCCCTGAAAAAGGTGCACCTGCCTTTCAAGAGCGTCTCACCATTAAACAGGTGCGCCTACCGTGATGACCCTTTCGATCGAATTCTTGAAGCAATGAAGGCTACCGTCAGTTCTTACCTCAAAACCTTGGTCTTTGAGGGGGGGGTTAACAAAGGTGGTATCCCCCCTCAGAGACCAGGCTTCCTTTCTAATTTGTACTCCTACATGCAATAAGTCCTAGTCGATGGTCGTTGGGGCTTTTGCGGGGCATGGTACCAAACCCAATCCTCTCCGCACCTTAGCATCAACCAAGCCTTCCCCTTTAATCGGTGGGATCTGCAATGCGGGATGCATCGCAGCCCGGGCAATGGGCCAATTCGGTCATTTCCACCCAAAAAAGGTAGATGGCCAGGAAGTGTTGTATATATATGTAGTATACATAAATGCATACATATGCATGTGTGTGCACGCGTCTTCGTGCATGTCCGTATAAACACCTGCACATCTCTGTTGAAGGCGACAGCCCAAGTAACACGGTCCGCGGACCGGCTGAACCAAAATCAACCCATCTCTCATACTCTGCAAAACACACTGGTAGTACCAGCACCACAAGTACTAGTACTAGTACGTACTAGGTGTCGCCGTCGTACTAGTAGTAGTAGTAGTCGTCGTCGTCGTCGTCGCCGTCGTAGTAGTAGTCGTCGTAGTAGTAGTACATAGTAGTCGTCGTCGTCGCAGTTAAACAACGTTTAAGCGCACATCCATTTTACCCGGTATTTACAGTACTTTCGTGATGTCGTAGTCCAATACCAACTACCACTGTTGAGGGATCGGGGGTGGGGGGAATACTTTTTAAGAGCACATCCATTTTACTCGGTATGTAGAGTACTTTCCTCATGTTGTCGCCAATACCAACGATGATGATGCTGGGCTTAGGCGCCAGGTAGTTGGTAGGGGGGTGGCTAGTAGTAGCAGAAGTAGTAGTAGTAGTAGTAGTCGTCGTCGTCGTGGTGGTGGTGGTGGTGGTGGTGGTCGTAGTAACTTAGCAGCAGAAACAACTCTTACTGCTGCTCCTACTACCACCGCTACCGCTACCACTGCCACTACCAGTACCACTTCCACCACCACTACTGCTGCCGCTACTACCACTGCCGCTACTACTACATACTCCTCCTCCTCCTACTATCCTACTACTGCTGCTGCTGCTACTGTTACTGCTACTGCTACTGCTACTGCTGCTGCTACTACTACTACTACTTCTTCTTCTGCCACCACCACCACCACCACAACAACAACAACAACTACTCTGAAGCTGCAGCTGTGGAATTGCAAAACGACAAGTGCTAAGCAGTCATGACAGTCTGGACTGTTGTCGTCGGGCATCTCTCGTGAGTCTTTCTTGAGCAACAATCTGTGCGCTGTCCTCTTGCGCCTGGAACTTCCCAAGAAGCTCACGGTGGTGTGACCTGAGCAACGAGCCGCACGACTCTATGCTTGTGCTGGACAGTGTACCTACAGCTGCTATGGCCATGGCCTAGCCGATCCTAGAATGCCAGCAAAATAGACCCAACGAAGAGTTGTTCTCGTGCTGGCAGGCACACGTGCATGCGTGTTTTGATGTTGAACTTCAGCCAAGAAGCTCCATCAACGACACAATCAGGTTCCTGAGCACGTGCGAATGACAAACTCGCCTGCTTGCTGACTTGATCTATGCGCATGAAACCTCTCGCACGACTCCTGGTTCTGCTTCTGAGCTAACTGGCTGCATACAACTCGTGAGGCCTCATCTGTCTTTGGGTTTCCTGCAGTCTTGACACGGTGATGAAGAGTTGAAACTCCCTCGTCCCTCTTGTCTGAGAACTTGAACCAAGTGCGATGTACAGGCTGTTCGGGCTTCGGATCCCTTGAAAGTGGCATCTAGCCATCCGATCGAGCTTATCATGGCTCGGGCCGCAACACGAAGCATACTTAGTCCCTGCACAGCGCAGGGTTGCCCACATTTGCCTACAGAAGGAGCCCGCTACTCCGGAAAACCCTGCTGCAAGGCTTCTCTCAAAACCATAGTACAAGCAAAATGAAACAACATATAGCAAGCCCCTAAGACCCTGCCTGTCATACCTTCTCAAACTCTGAAACCATGAAGTTTGCGTGAAGCCCTCTAGTCCTTCTAGCCACAAACCATCACAGGTCCAAAAGCCGGTGCCTCCAAACCCTAATGCTGCGCGAAGCCTAAACCCATCGCACAATCCAAACTATAAACCCCGAAGAGCCCGAAACTCTCGACACTAAAGCATGGAGATCCCTGCTTCATGAAGCCTTTTTTTGAGCAGGGACTGCAATGCTCTCAGCTTCATGAAACCTAAAACCCCAGACCCTAAACTGCAAATGTCCTCCGGGCCCCGGGCTCTGAGCTGCTCAGGACCTCTGAGTCGGGTCTCCAGAGCTGACCTGACTGCTTCATCGTTGCGCGAGCAAGGTATAAATCAAACATATGCGATGCAGCAGAGATACGGAGAGCTGCATATTTGTGCAAAATATATACGTATGTACATACGCACACCTGTATCGGTACACAAGCAGACATAAATCTATGTATCATACATCCATATATATATATATATATATATATGCAACACCCCCCCCCCCTCCGGTACCTACCTGTTTCGCTGTTTGGTGCGCTGTTGGATATATACATGTGTAGAGCGTATGCCTGTGTATGCGTGTGTGCGTCCCTCTATGCATACATACATACATGCATACACAGACGAGGACATGTCCAGCAGAGGTATTGCGCCATCAGTTCCCTAGATTCCCAAACCCCTGACCCTATGTGCTGGAACTAGGGAATTCCTTAAACCTTAAACTCCTGAAATATCTTGAATTTCCTAAATTCCTTAACCCTCAGACCTATGTAATGGATTCAAAGGGTTCCCTAAATCCTTATATGCCCTGCATTCCGTAAGCTGTAGCACCATGTACTGGCTGTAGGGCATTCCCTAAATCCCTTCCTTATCTCCTTGAATGCCCTGTAGGGAATGTAACATGGATTCCTTAGGCCCGCCCATACATGGGCAAGGATTAAGGAATTTACTTGGGGACTTTAGGGAATGAACCAAATCCTGAAATTCAAGTGCAGGACATGGGGGCAGAGATTGGGGAGTTTCGGGAACGCAAGACATCCTTAAACCCAAGACATGCGGGCAGGGATCATGGAATTTAGGAAATTTCGGGAATTAGGGAATCCTAGCAGTGGGCAAAATGAAAGGAATTGATGGAACTATTGAGATTAAAAACAAGAATACATAGAGGACTGTAAGACATATCGTGTAGAATTAGCAGCTAAATTATAGATACCCTGCTAACAAAGCTTCATTGCATTAGAGGAGCCCTCAAATTCTGGATTCCTGAACTCATGTATAATCCCTCTTCGAACTTGTAAAGGGGTTCTTACTATCATGGGTTCCTGCGTTCCCTTGCATAGTTCTCTTATCAAATAAGTTTCGAAATATGACTCAAAGTCTCCGATCCTGCACGCCTGATTTTCTTGAAAACAATCCCTTACAGGCATTCTATGGGGTATTCCACACGGCTGTATGGTATTCCATTGTAGAAGGCCTGCTGCAATATGTGTATGTAGGGGTATTCTATGAAGAATCCCTATATATATTTAAATCTTTACTAGATAAGCTTCGATGTATTCCAAGAACTCACGGATTCAAGATTCCTCCAGCTTTCCTTCACATAAGTTTCTTACTCAATAAACTACAATTCAGCCGGGGAATTCTCAGATATTGGGCTTGGGCTCCTCCTGATTGTCCTTATATGTATCCTGTATTTATGAAGTATTCTATAGGGTGTTAGACAAGTTTAAGCGGAAGTATTCTAAAGGGTATCCTATAAGGAACTTATGTAGTGTATTGCGTGTGGTGTTCTACACGGTATATTTGAAATAAAGCGTTTGGGTGCATCATATAAAGGTGATCGAAATGAGTGTCACAGGAAGCTACGTCGGGGCGTGACCCGAGAGATTCTGCGGGAGGAATGTTTGGGCGAATGCACTTGAAGCAGACTCGGCCCGATTCACGTTGAAACGGCCCGATTCAAGTTGAATCGGGGCCGGATTGAAGATTGAAGGTTCCTGGAAAGAGTTTCCCAGGGAGCTTCAATCTTCAATCCGAGGCCCGATTCAACTTGAATCGGGCCGATTCAACCTGAATCGGCCCCGATAGCGCGCACCACGAGTCAGTGACTATCGGCCCAGCAGGCATAACTACTGTAATACGATGAACTTGTGTTACGCATAGCACTGTCTGTACAGATAGGGCCTATCGCGCAGAGACACGGCTTGTGGGGGCACCTCCCCACCCCGGTACCAGTCCAAGTGTAGCCCTATAGTACGGATAAACAACACCCAAAAGGTAGGTACCGGGGGGGGGGGGGTACCATACATATATATATATATATACATATACATGCACCACACACACACACATATATATATATATATATACGTATATCTATTTATGTATTTATGTGTTCGGTTATCTTACATACCAACATATACCTTATATAGTCAGTATGAAGATAGATAGCTCGATAGATCGATAGATAGATCGATAGATAGATCGATAGATAGATCGATAGATAGATAAATAGACAGATAGACAGACAGATCGATAGATAGATCGATAGATAGACAGATCGATAGATCGATCGGCGCATAAGCATATGATTGCATATGTGCTGTTGCTCTCGCACGGGTGACTCTGTTTCAGGAAGCTGTAACGGGTTGAAGCCCAACAAATTACGGGGTGGAGAACACATGATTGAGACCTGTGGACGGTAAGCGCTTCTTCTCTAACATCCGAGGGGCCGGGGTTGGCTTCCTTGGACTTCTGGAGATATGGCGGCTCCTGAGGCAACTCAGATAAGACTAGTCACCATCACATGATTGAGCCATGTGGCTTCTGAGTCTGATTTCTGCGACAGGGCACTGTAGGGTCACTGCAACGAATCTGGGGGTCTGCCCAGGTCTGGAGCTACAAGTATAACTGTCAACGTGCTGCAAGGCGGCTTTCTCCATGCTCGTCGCGAGGTCACTCGAGGACCGGTGCCGCGGGCCCTGCCACAGTGCGTGGTTGCAGGGACTGAAGACTGCGCCTTGCAGCACAGTATATATCGTCATGCCTATGACGGCGCAGGTGGCGGCTGCCACAGATAAACAGCATGTTCGGTCCGCTCCGCTAGGTGGTGCCAGCGTGGGTGTTCGGCTGAGATGGGGAGAGCGTTCGCTTGTCAGCAGGCGTGTGCGCAGCGGGCCCACGAGCTACGACGACAAGCCTGCTACAAGTATTCGCCCAGGAAACCTGCACAGGACTAGAGCGCTAACTCTTGCGTACTCTTGCTCTCAAGGTGCACTACCAGGCAGTGCCTCACCCAGCATCAGCCCCGGAGAGGCCATGAGGCCGCACGTGCCACCACAGGCTTACAACCGGAAGGCAAGAAGTTACGATCGGGTGCTTGTTAATCCCTCAAGCCTGGTACACTGCAACCAATGAAGCATCATGCTGAGTCATACCCAGCCCTGAAACTAGCTAGCTGCCGGCCGCTGCGCATCCTCTCCTCACTCAAGCCTGAATGGAGCTATGTAGGAGGATGCAGAATAATGCGCGCTGGGTTTTGCGATCAAAGTTGGGTTCTTCGAATCGAAGCCTAGACACGCCTAAGGCGTGTCAAGCAGTGTACTTCGAGCCTGAAAAGCTGACGGCGTGCAGAACAACAGGAAGACCATGAACAGAGCTTCTGGAAGTCGGAAGACAAGGTCCCCAAATCCCTTTCAAAAAACTGGCTTCGATTCCCTGAACAGTCAAAGCCATCCAGTTCAACCTAAGCCTCATGCAGCGAAAAATCAGGCTGTCCAAAGCAGTGGCAGCAAATCCTTACATGCCGTCTGCTAAGCATTGGTACTACGTGCACTGCAGTAGCCTCGTGGCAGCTGGAACACCCGTGGAACACTCCCACACCCTTGATGGACTGCTGTCACAAGCATGTTGCGCATCGCAAATATGCGATGGCGAAGCTGCAAGAGTCCAGAACTTGCCCAAGTCCGAAAGCTGCTGCCCACTTTGTAAACAAGCAAAGGCGACCGCGCCCGTCAAATGCTGCTCGCGACGTTGGCAAGGGGCGGGTACCATATCGCTTAAGGCTCCGGTAGAAGCTCTGGTTGTAGGCTTGTGCTTGGCTTGTCGAGTTTGGGCCAGCTGGCGGACATGCTTCCATGTCTCGGTACTCTGACTAGACTCCAGACATCATGCTTCCGCCCGGGTATCGTTCTTAGCATGGTCAGTCTGTGCTGTTGCCATAAGCATCGCATGGGTTGAGGATATTCATTATGACCCAGGGTTTGTGTCTATTCTTTCTTTTGGTATGATGCCCATACCGTTACTGCACCAAACTATGTGTTGTGTTTTTTCTTTACATGCTTTGTCGTGTTTCGTGTGCCAGTACGAATACATTTAGCTACAGGAGCTCACTCCTGCTTTGGAAGCGGTTCTCCGCTATCATGGCCATCACTCTATAGTATTATGACCAACTGTATATTGTCCTGTAGTTGCCTTTACGTAACTTTACTTCGTGAATTGCTGCTTGTGCTGATGATGTGTTGCCTGTTGGCACGTCTTTGCATGTACTCCGTGCACAAGGAACCCTTCATGGAAGTGTTACCAGCTCCTTGCAGATTGCTGAGGCAGATTCTGGCAAATTCACGTGTAGAAGCCACGCCCTTACACTTGCGGTTTCGAGTACAGTCTCATCCCGTGCACAACACCACCATGCATGACCCTCTCCACAAGATGGCTGGATTCAGAAGGACCAATTCAGCACTCTTGCGGCCTGCCGAGCCTGACCTCCTGTGGGGAAGTGTAGCCTCGCAGGGTACAGGGGCTCCCTGCCCAGTTTACGTTCGACATATGCAGGAAAACAAGATCCTGTCTACTGGGGGTTTCTAGGTCGCAAACCACGCACAATCTGATTGCTACGCCGAGTTGCGAGAGGCACTATACTACATGTGGCTTCTGAATGCTGCATGAAGCCGTTGTCTCCATGCCGCAAGCTGAAAGTTCACTATAGACTGCAGAGATCCCACGGTCAGCATGCTCACAGAGTAGAACACCGTAGTCAAAACCATCCAGCTGCTCGATTCCCCCAGAATGCGACCTCACCAAGTCGACCTCCCGGAATGCGTCCAGGAGCTCCTGGTCAAAACCACGGAAAACCGGGAAAATCGAGATCGTTTTTTGTTGTTTTGCCTGTGAAAGTCATGTCGAAACTTGGGCACCGGTGTGCCTCTGGAGTCATGTCTGTGTCGGATCGACACCTGGCAAGGGTCAGACTTACGCATCATGTTGCAAACAACGTCAACTCCAGCATCAAGCGCTGTAAGGACTGTAAGTACCCGAAGTTTGTATGCTCGCTGTTGGCCGCGCAGTCTGCAGAAGGACCACACCTAGCCCAAGTACACCAACTTCCTACCCTCGGGGTTGGCCCCAAGACAAACCCAAACTATCAGAAGGAGCTGACTGCTCCACCACACATACCACACATACCATCTCGCTTCTGGACTTCATCCTGCCTCAGGAAGAAGCTGTTCCGCTCTGGTGGCGGACCGCAGACCTGCAAGCTATCTACAGTGCCTGGAAGCAAGCGTACACAGCATGCTGCAACCTGGTCCGGCGCTTTCGCTAACACTGCCAACGCTGGCCTTCTCAGCTTTTTCCGAACCCACAACACCGAAAACGCTTCTTTATCTTCTTTCCAGCACAAGGCAACCGGTAATTCCAACGGGCTCATAGGCGCCGCTTCTGCGAGATTGGTGCAGAGGAACGCAGTAGCAGCGGTGGTACGGTTCCCCAGCTAAACCTCGAAAACGAGGGCACCCTGTTCCTATACTGCAGCACTCAAACTTACACAATACAACGCAACACCACCACTGGGGTACCTACTGTATGCTGTCAAATGCAGTCAAGCCTTTTCGGCCTGAGGGGGTTGACAATCGAAATGCTTCTGCCAGAGGCGGCCCACATGAAGCCGTGCCAAAGACTAGGCCCGTACGAGCACCCGTGGCGGAAGAATCACGCGCTTGCTAACATATACAGAGTAGACTATCGGACGGTATCCTCCGACAAAGGACGTCTCCCGACTCATTGGTCGCACGTGATGCGCAGCAACTGGAGCTTGCACAAACACCGGAGACTGGACGACATAAACCGTGACTGGAGGTGCTGCTTGGCAGACTGCCTTCATGCGCACGGTTGGAAAGGCTGGATGTTGGATTGTCACCGGGAACGCTGGGCAACGGCTCCGATCGAGACTCGAGGCACCGCTGTTTGCCACCGTATCTGCCGACTTTGGGATCGTGTTGGTGTGGGTGTGGCCAGCAAAGCCGCCTGGAGAAGGGATTGCATGAGTGATTGTGTGTCTTCAGGCGTCGTTACTGCGT